GAACCTGACTCCAAGCCGGCGGGCCCGGTCGCCTCTTTTTGCAGGACAATTGCCGCCCGCCCGGGGCTCCGGGGGCTCCCGGGCTCCCGCCGTTCCGCCCCGCCCCGCCCCGCCCCGCCCCGCCCCCCCCCCCACGACCGTCCAGCCCGCCCAGAGGGTGAGGGCGGGGGAAGAGGAAGAGATGCCGCTCTCTGTCGGTATCTTCCTTGGAGATAAGATCTGCTAAGCGCTCCTGGGTGGGTGTAGGCTTTGGACAAAGCACCTCAGAGGTGGGGTTGGAATGGGAGGTGGTAGGGTGGGTGACCTCTTTCAGCTTGTCGCTGGCGGGCGGGGGAGGGGAGCAGGAGAAAGGGGAGCAAGAGAAAGGGAAAACCGCGGCTCAGGAGAAAACTCCTCCCTCCTTCCTGGGCACTTCAAGAAACAGCCTTCGTGGAGGCCAAATCAATCCTCCTTGACTCTGCGGCCCTGGTTTTCTCGATGTAAAGACCCGCCCCCTCCGCCCCCTCCGCCCCCCCCACGCCTCCCCCTCCCCCGTGGGCTGATCAAGTGACACAAAGCCTGGGGAGAGGTGGGGCGGGGGGGGGGGTGCGAGGGCGATGGTGGTGGTGGTGGTGAAGGAACTTTGGTGAAGATGCAGTAGCTTCAAAGTACTGTGAACAGAAAACACGTATCATTGATAAAATTCCCCGGGGGGTGGGGGGGGGGGAAGGAAACCATGGCACTTTTTTTTTTTTAAATTTTATTGACTCACCTGTGAGATCTTTACAAGCTTTCATGTTTGGGGGACAGTCACACAATGATCAAACACCCATCCCTCCACCAGTGCACATTTCCCACCACCAATATCCCGGGTATTATAACCCCGCCTACACACACACACACACACACACACACACACACACACACACACACAGAGAGAGAGGCACACACCCTCCCCCTGCCTCCCTGCCTCTGTGGCAGACACATATTCCCCATTCTCTCTCCCTCACCCTCTCCCTCTCCCTCTCCCCTCTTTTCGGGGTTTATGCTTTGCAATACAGACACTGAGAGGTCATCATGTTTGGCCCTTTTTCTACTTTCAGCACACATCTCCCATCCCGACCGGTTCCTCGAGCCATCATTTTCTTCGGGATCCAAGATCCTTCGTACCCAATAGGCCAAATACCAGTCATAAGGATGGGTCTCATTCTCCACCGCCCCTATCCAGGCCCTGCTTGCTCCTCTATTTGGTTCTGTCGGTGGTCAGGGTGGACTCTGTCGCTCGCTTGCTTGTTGCCTGCTTGCTTGTCGGCTAGCTTGCTTGCTTGCTTGCTTGCTTGCTCGCTTGCTTGCTTCCTTGCTTGCTTGCTTGCTGGCTTGCTCTGCTGGCTTGACTGGCTTGCTTATTGACATGAACTCACTTGTTTTTTTTTTTTTTTAAATGTAGTCATTATTTTTTGTAGTCTCATTCTCCTAAGCCTGAAACAGCCTTGAATAGGGCACTGTTTCAAAATCTCAGGGTGGGGCCTGCTCCAGGCAAGCGACGAACAACAGGATGGTCGTGGTCGTGGTCGTATTGGTTATTTATTTAAATAAATACGTACTCTTTCTTGCTGAATGAGTGATTTCCATGACCCCTTGGAGTGCCAGGGACCGAACCTGGGTCCACAGCCACCCAAGGCCAGCCATACTCAGGCCAAGCAGCTCGCCTTTCCACGGACTGAGAAGTCTCCATACTGGCTCCACCAGGCTGAAACGGACATCATTCGGACCAGCAGCGAATTCTCCAAATCCTTTTCGTGTCCCTATTCCCTATTCACGGCCGTGAGGGAGGGAATAGGGACACGAAAAGGATTTGGAGGGTTTGCGGGGATTTGGAGGCTGGAGCGCTAGCAAAGCGGCAGGGCGTTTCCCTGCCACTCAAGCCGCCGCCGCAGCGGGGGGGGGGGGGGGGGGGGGGGGGGCCCGCCTGCCTTGCCGGCTTCAACTCCTCCGCCCCTCCCTCCAGGGCGAACGTGCCACCTCTTGACAGGCACCCCTGTCAAGAGAAACTTCCCTTCTCTCTTCCAGCTGCCTTCTCCCCTTGGCTCATGAGGCAGGCTTCCAGCTAGGGAGCAATCTTCTCGTGCCGGCCGGCCGTGTATCTGCTCTCCTTAGGTGCGAGCCTCATGGGATGTGGTTGGACCCTCCACCCACGAGTGCAGTCCCTTCTCCGGCTGTCCCTCTCTTTCTGACTCATTTCACTTAGCATGAGACGCGCTGCGCGTCTATCCACGGACTCGTACGTACTCTTTTTGCTGGCTGGCTCGCTTGCATGCTTGCTTGCTTCCTTCTTGGCTTTTGCTTGCTTGCTTGCTTGCTTGCTCGCTCGCTCGCTCGCTCGCTTACGGTTGCTTGTTTTTCTTTTTATACATACGTACACACGTACGTACGTACGTACATATGTATGCGTGTATATTATATATATGTGTACATATATATGTATTTTTTTTTTATAAACGTCTTGAATGAATCGCCGTGAAGTACAGGGACAAACGGACAAAACTTTCTTCCCTCCCCCCGTCCCTCCCCATCCCTCCGTCTTCCCTCCGTGTCCATCTCCAGAGATTCCAACCGGGGTCACGGGGTGCAAGCTGCCCATAGTTCACGTGTGGCACAGGTGCCTGACTTGACTCCCGTTCTATTTTTTTTTTTTCTGCCATCCGGACCCGGACCCCTCGGCTATGTCCCCAGCCTCACGTGTCCCTTAGGTTCGTGGTGTCACGGCTCCATCTCGAGGTCGTTTTAAAACGCATTAAGCCACGTGAAACACGCACTCGCGCACGCACCCACCCACCCACTCACTCACGCCCGCCCGCCCCCGCAACACCACCGCTTCACAGTGACCGATTCGGGAAATGGTGAAGAGAAACGAGCGGGTGGTCGTGCGCTCTCTCGATGTGGGCGCCGCCGCCGCCGCCGCCGCCGCCGCGCCACACTGCACAACGTCCTGCATTTAGCTTCGCGAGTGGCCACGACGAGGGTGTGCTCGTTCCCGAGGGTGCCCGTTCGCCCGAGAGGGCCACGGTGCCGGTTCCTTGGTGGAAATCTCCACGAAACTCCGCCGGGGCGAACCCGAACCGCTCCTTTCTGCGGACCCAGCTCCGATGATTTCCTAGAGCCGCTTCATGTCTCACGCCACCGCCACCGCCGCCGCATCTTCTTGTTGTCCCCAGGGAGGGAGCCGGGGAACAACGAACCGGAACGCTCTTTCTCTCTCTCTCTCTCTCTCTCTCTCTCTCTCTCTCTCTCTCTCTCTCTCGGGTTGCGTCGCCTATTCCTCCAAGGAGGTTGGCCCCTGACAGACGGACGGGTCCTCCCCGGTCTTTTCGTCAAGTTCATCGGGATTGGGTGGATCTTCTGAGCTCTGGGTGCCTTGTCCATCCAGTCCGCTGTGAACCCCAAACAGGCACGCAGAGGCCGAGAGGGAGACGGAGATGGACACGGACGCACGCACACAGACACAGAACAGGCAGGCGGGCCCGCGCGCTCAAACACACGCACTGAGTGGTGGGGGGTGGTTTTAGTTTTTGTGGGGGTGGGGGGGAATTGTCCTCCTCTCCATCCCCAACGGCCCTGCCTGTTTCTCGAGGGGAGGGAGGGGCGGTGGGATTTAGTTTCCCTCCACAGGAGTCGCGCGGGGCGGGGTGGCGATCGATCGCGCTGAGGTTGCTCGGGCGCCACCTGCCGTCCGCTTTTCTACGGCGCCGGAGCTCCTCTGGGCTGACGGGAGCGATTCGCTCGCACTGCCCGAGGCGGCGTTCCAGGATGTCGGCGTCCGAGTCGACTTCGGGCCCGCTGTCAAGGCGCCACCTCGCGAGGAGCGACGGTGGAGATTGGAACTGCAGGTTCTTGAGGGAGGCCGTGTTGCCTTCGCAGCCGGGTGCCGGCGCCGGGGCTGGCTGCCCGGGCGGGTCGACCAGCACCCCGGCGGCGGGTGGCGCCGTAGCTCCAGGGTCGGCAAGCGGCCCGGAGCGGGGCCGAGGGCCGGGCCGGGCCGGGCCGGGCGCGGGGCGGTCCGGGCGCGCGGCCCGGCGCTCGGCCGGCGGGTGACGCGGAGCTAAGCCCCGGGGCCGGCAGCGGCCCGGAGCGGGGCCGAGGGCCGGGCCAGGCGCGGGGCGGCCCGGGCGCGCGGCCCGGCCCTCGGCCGGCGGGTGCCGCGGAGCTAAGCCCCGGGGTTGGCAGCGGCCCGGAGCGGGGCCGAGGGCCGGGCCGGGCGCGGGGCGGCCCGGGCGCGTGGCCCGGTCCTCGGCCGGCGGGTGCCGCGGAGCTAAGCCCCGGGGCCGGCAGCGGCCCGGAGCGGGGCCGAGGGCCGGGCCGGGCGCGTGGCCCGGTCCTCGGCCGGCGGGTGCCGCGGAGCTAAGCCCCGGGGCCGGCAGCGGCCCGGAGCGGGGCCGAGGGCCGGGCCGGGCGCGGGGCAGCCCGGGCGCGCGGCCCGGCCCTCGGCCGGCGGGTGCCGCGGAGCTAAGCCCCGGGGTTGGCAGCGGCCCGGAGCGGGGCCGAGGGCCGGGCCGGGCGCGGGGCGGCCCGGGCGCGTGGCCCGGTCCTCGGCCGGCGGGTGCCGCGGAGCTAAGCCCCGGGGCCGGCAGCGGCCCGGAGCGGGGCCGAGGGCCGGGCCGGGCGCGGGGGCGGCCCGGGCGCGCGGCCCGGCGCTCGGCCGGCGGGTGCCGCGGAGCTAAGGCCCGTGGTCGGCAGCGGCCCGGAGCGGGGCCCGGCCCTCGGCCGGCGGGTGCCGCGGAGCTAAGCCCCGGGGCCGGCAGCGGCCCGGAGCGAGTTGGGTCTATGGCTGCCCGAGCCCGTGGACGCCCTTGCCCGTGGCCGTCCTTGTGCCCGCTTGAGCCCGTGTCGTGTAGCTCTAGGGTCCGCAGCAGTTCGGAGCGGGGGTGGGGGATGGCGATCCCGCTGAGGTTGCTCGGGCGCCACCTGCCGTCCGCTTTTATATGGCGCCGGAGCTCCTCTGGGGTGACGGCAGCGTTTCGGTTTCACTGCCCGAGGCGGCGTTCCAGGATGTCGGCGTCCGAGTCGACATTGGTCCCGCTGTCGAGGCGCCAGCCCGCGAGGACCGGCGGTGGAGCTTGGAACTGCAGGCTCTTGAGGGAGGCTGTGTTGCCTTCGCCGGCGGGTGCCGGCGCCGGGCCTGGCTGCCGGGGCGGGTCGACCAGCACTCTGCCGGCGGGTGCCGCGTAGCTAGCTCCAGGGTCCTCGGCGGCTCGGGAGCGGGGCCGGTGGCCGGCGCGAGAGGGGGGCGGCCCGGGCGTGTGGCCCGACCCTCGGCCGGCGGGTGCCGCGTAGCCAGCTCCGGGGTCCTCAGCGGCTCGGAGAGGGGCCGATGGCCGGCCCGAGCGCGAGGCGGCCCGGGCGCGTGGCCCGTCCCTCGGCCGGCGGGTGCCGCGTAGCTAGCTCCAGGGTGCGCAGCGGCTCGGAGCGGGGCCGGTGGCCGGCGCGAGAGCGGGGCGGCCCGGGCGTGTGGCCCGACCTTTGGCCGGCGGGTGCCGCGTAGCCAGCTCCGGGGTCCTCAGCGGCTCGGAGAGGGGCCGATGGCCGGCCCGAGCGCGGGGCGGCCCGGGCGCGTGGCCCGTCCCTCGGCCGGCTTGAGCCCGCGCCTCGTAGCTCCAGGGTCGGTCCGCAGCGTCTCGGAGCGGGGCCGATGGCCGGGCTGAACGCGTGCCGCCCTTGGCCGGTCAGCGGGCGGTGCATCGGTGCACGGTGACGGGGTCCGGCCGTGAGCCCGTGGGGGCGCCTGGTCCGCGGCCCCGAGAAGGAAGAGGACTTAGTTTTGTTTGATTTCCCGCCGCGGTGTTTCTGGGCTTCTGACTCTATCCCCTTAGCCTTCCCGAGCTGGCTTTGACCTCCGGCGCCGCCGCCGCCGCCGCCGCCGCCGCCGCCGCCGCCGCCGTGGGGTCGTCGCGTGGCTTCGGGCGCAGCTTCGACCATGCCGAGTCACGGGGTCGACCAGTTGTCCCGTGGAGCTCCGGGACTCGGGGCGATGGGGCTCTCCTGGGTGCCAGTTGCCGGGTCCCTGTTCCAGAGGTGCGGCGGGAAGATGCAGATCGGTCCCGTTTCCGACATCGGTCCTTTTCCCGTGCGACGGGACCGGTTTGGACCGCGAGATGTGTGCTGACACGCTCTCTCTCGGTGGCTCTCTGCCGTGAGGATCGGGACCGTCGTTCCCCCGGGTGCGTGTGGGATGGTCGGGGCCTGTCTTGAGGACTTCCTCCCTGGCCTCCCGCCGCTCGAGCCGCCCGCCTGGGCCCTGTGCGCCGGCTCTCGCGTGCACCTGGGGGCAGTGTCCCAGCCGTGGCTGTCAACCTCCGGCCTAAGGCGCCCGAGTTCAGCCCGGCGTCCGCGGCCCCGATGTGAACGGACCTCCCCCAGTCCCGCGGGCCCCCGTGCCCGCTGCGTGTCAGGCAGTCTCGCTCTCGTTGGAGGGGGTTGTCCGGTCGGGGTCCGGAATCACCCCGAGGTCAGAAGGGTGGGCAAAGGCTGAAACGGGCCTCTCCCCTCTCCGGAGGGTTGCTGTCCTTTGCTCGCTCTCCTTCGGGGTCCGGTCCCCTCCTCGTCCGGGGGGACCGGTGGCCGCTCGCTTCTCGCATCCTTTCCTTGCTGATCGATGTGGTGCTGGTGTGCTCTCCCGGGCCGGGCCTAAGCCGCGCCAGACGAGGGACGGACATTCCACGTGAATGGGACCGCTCTTCTCGTTCTGCCAGCGGGCCTCTCGCTTCTCCCCCACCTCGCGGTGGGGCGGGGCGTTCAGGGGTGCGGACCCCGGCCCGATCCCGTTCTTGCCGCTCTCCTGCTTGGTGCACAGGGAGTGGGCTTTTCGGGGTCGTCTGACACGGTGGACAACCCTCGCTCTGTCGGGACCGTCCCAGGTTCCCGTTCTCTCGAGCCGGCCCCTCCCCGCGGCGGGGTGGGGCCGCCCGGCGGTGGCGCGCGCTGCCGTGCCTCAACCGGCCCTCGGTGGTGCCCCTGGAGCGCTCCAGGTCGTCCTGTCAGGTGCCTGAGGCCGAGCCGGTGGTGCCGTTTCCCCGTCACCTGGCTTCGCGGTCCTGCCCTCTTGGGGCTCTCCTCGTTCGGTGGTGTTCCCCTCTGGGGGTCGAGCCGGTCGTTGTTTGTCACACGGGAGTCGCCTTGCCGTTCGCCCCCTTGCGGCCCGCCGCTTGGGTCGTGGGCGGTTGGGCGGCCTCCGTTTCTCGGGCGCGTGCCCGCGTGCCTCGCATTAACTGGCTCTCGCGCACGCGGGCGCGTGAGCGGCGGCGGTGGGTTGTCGTTGTGCCGGGCTCTGGGAGACGAGGTGGCCCTCCCTTGGGGGCTCTCTCTCGCTCTGTCCGGGGTTTCCGCTCCTCTCCCGTTGCGGGGGCGGAAGCCGGTCACCCGCCGTGGTGGGCGGGGGCCGTCTGCCGGGTGCTGCGGAGGGGCGGCGGGCCCTCCCGCGGACCCAGCACACAACGGACCTGACCGCGGACGCTCACGCTTCTGGTCGGTCTCGCTTCGGCGGGGCTCGGCCACCGGACCACTACGGCAGACCCCCCCCACTCGAGTCGGGGGAGCCCGGAGAAGCGGGGCAGCCGGCCTAGGTCGGGGGGCGGCGCCCCCTCGGCGGAGAATACTCCTTCTCTAGCGATCCGAGAGGGTGCCTTTGGGGTACCGGATCCCCCAGCTGCTGCCCCTCCTCTACCTGCGCTGTCAGCCACCGGTAGCAGAGCCTGCCCTTCCCCGCCGCCCTGTGGCGGGGAGAGGCTTCCGCCGTCATTCCCCCCAGACGTGGGGGGGTGCCGAGCGCCCTCGCTCTTTGCCTACCGCGGCCCGCGCCTCCCCCCGTCGGGGGAGGGTCCCGCCGGGCCGAGCCGGCGTCCCGGCGTCGGGGCGTCGTGTCGGTGGTCGGGGCTCGGATGGGCCCGTGTGTGCGCGGTCGGAGAAGACGGGCGTGTGCGCGGGTATGGTCTCGCTTCCTGGACCCGACCTATGCCCGCGCGATCCCCCGCTCTGCCCCGCGGGAGCCGTGCTTCCCGTGGGGGGGGGACGACACGCTGTCCGCTCCCGTGTCTGTGTGTGCCGCAGCCGGCGGTGGTGCTGCGGAGCCCGGCTTCGGGGTGTGCGTGCTCTCGGCCCCCAGCCGAGCGAGACGCTCTCGCGCGGTCCGCGCGGTGGCGTGCCCCCGAGTGACTGGACGTTGCCGTCTGGGTACCCGGACCCTCCGGCAGGACTCGGATGGGCAGAGGGAAGAGGAAGAGCGGTTTGTGGAGGCTCTGGGCGCCGTCGGCCTTCCCTGCCTCGCGTTGGGGCTGGGGAACGGGTGTCGGTGGTTGGCGCTGGACCATCCGGGTCCCCGCCGGTCGGGGCACCGCGGTGCCGTGCGCGGCTGTGGCTTCCGTGGTGGAGCGCGCGTCGGTGGGTCGGCCGTCGGGCCGGCCGGCGTCCCGGGCGTGGGTGCGGGACCGCCCTTGGTCGTTGGGCGGTGGGATTCCCGTGCAGAGTTTTCCCGGTGGCCCGGTCGGTCCCGGCGGCGGGCGCCTCCCTCTCGCGTTTTCCCCTCGGAGCCCACCCGGCGCGTGTGCTGCGTTGCCCCGGCCCTCGCGGGCCCGGATCCCCCGGCCCCTCGGGCCCCTCCCCAGGGGAGGCTGTGTGCCCGTGCGGAGCCCGGTGGTGCTTTGGCCCCCGTGTTCCCCCTCGCGTGGGGGTCGCCCGTCAGCGGCGTCCGCTCTCTCGCCCGGTGCAGGTCGTGCCCTGCCCCCTGCCGGTCTCGCCGTGCCTCTGGAGCGGCTGACCCCTCCCAGAACGGGCCTCGTTTAGCCCGGAGGGGTCGGTCGGAGGCACGTGCGTCGAGCGGCGGGGGGTGGGCGTGCGTCTCACCGGTGTCGGGGGTGTCGGTCTCGCCGTCGGCCGGTGACCTCCGCGTTTGAGGGCCGGGACGAGTCGTCGGGGGCGCCTGACCTGTCCGCGCTGGCGGTGGTCGTGGCCGGGGTGTAGCGCGAGTCTCGCCCGCCCGGTGGCAGGGTGGCCGTCGTCGTCGTCGTCGTCGTCCGTCCTCGGCTGCCGCGGGACCGCCCTTGTGCTCGGAGGCCTCGGGTGGTGAGATTCCCGCGGTGGGCCGTTGGCGGCGGCGGCGGCGGCGGCGGCGGTGGCCGTCGCCGGGTGCCGGGGCCCCGCCTTTGGGGCATCCCGGCCCGCGGAGGGTTCGCCCTCCCTGGGGCACCCTCGGCTCGCCCCCCGCCCCGCGCTGCCGCCCTTTTTCGTGCCGCCTCCCCTCCTCCGGTCTCGACCCGCGTGGCGGTCGGAGGTTGCCGGCGTTCCTTTGCCTCTCGCGGGGCCCCCCTCGCGGGGGGGCCTCTTCCTCTCCTCCACTTCCCGTCTGTCCACCGGGCTGCTGCCGGCGTCCCGGTCCCGCGGCTCGCCCGCGCTCGGAGGTCTCGCCCGCCGCTGCGGCTCCGGCGGCCAGCGCTTTCGCTCCCTGGGTCCGCCGTCCGCTCGCTCCTCCCGTTGCCGCTCCGCTCTCGCCACCGCCGGGTGGCCCTCGGTTGGACGACGGCGCGCTGTTCTCGGTCGAGGGGGGCCCCCCGGGGCCCGGCTTCGCCCTCCGACCCGCGGCGACCCCGCCCTCTCTCCGCACGGTGCCCCTCCCGTCCGCGGGTGTGGTTCTCCCCCGTGCGCGCGTCGGGGCGGTGGCCGTCGCGAGTGCCTCCGGAGGCCGCGGTGCCGACGTTCTCCGTTCCCTCGCCGTCTCTCCGCGCCGCCGCTGCCGGGGGTCGTGGCGGCGTCACACGCTCGGGGGTCCCCCCCACCGCCGACTCCGGTCGGTGGGGGGGTGTCGGGCAGCGTCGTCTACCCCCTCCCCCGTCGGGCCGCGCGTCTCGCTGCCCGCGGGGTCTCGAGCGGGTGTCCGGTCCCGCGGTCGTGTGGCGGCAACAGGCCCATGCCCGCCCGCGTCTCGTCTCCTCCTTCCCCGCGCGCCCGCGGCGTTCCTCTCCGCGTTCCGTGCCGC